TGTGGCAGAGCCAGCATTTAAACCCATGTCTGTCTTATTCCAAAACCTGTGTTTTAAAATTTATTTATTTACTATTATTATTATTTTTTGGTACCAGGGATTGAACTTGGGCACTCAGCTACTGCGCCACATCCCATCCCCAGCCCTATTTTTTTTTTTTTTTTTGTGGTGCTGGGGATTGAACCCTGGGCCTTCTTCAAGGCAAGCATTCTACCCACTGAGCTATATCCCCAGCCCTACTAGCCCTATTTTGTATTTTATTTAGAGACACGGACTCACAGAGTTGCTTAGTGCCTCGCTGTTGCTGAAGCTGGCTTTGAACTCACAATCCTCCTGTCTCAGCTTCCTGAGCTGCTTGGGGTTACAGGCATGCACTGGCTATCTATTTTATTTTTGAGACAGGGTCTTGCTTTATTGCCCAGACTGACCTCAGACTCGAGATTCCCTGCCTCAGCTTTCTAAGTAGCTGGGATTATAGGCGTGTGCCATTGCACTTGGCTCCTTTCTTTTTAAAAAAGGAAATAAATGACTTTCTTGTTTTTTTTTTTTTGTGTTTGTTTGCTTGGGATAATTAAAAGTAATACATGAGCCTTGGGTGTAGCATGGTGGCATACACCTTTAATTCCAGTCACTTAGGACACTGAGGCAGGAGGGCTGCAAATTCAAGGCCAGCCTGGGCAACTTAACAAGACCCTGCCTGAAAAGGGGTAGAGCACTCCTGGTTCAATCCCTAGCACTCCCCACCCCCCAAAAAAGTAATACATTATACTCATCATATTGCTGAAAGTAAAATACCTGACATACCCTTACTTGGTTAGAATATAGAGTAATGGAAAGTTTTATAGGCATAACAACTTGAAAAGCAATTTGGCAATATCTAGTAAAATTGAAAATGCACATATTCTACAATGCAACAACTCCATTCCTGGGTATATGTCCCAGGGAAGATGTTGACTGTGTACATGGAGCACAGTGTTTAAGCCATATTTAATAGCTGAAAAAAAATCAACCTCAGTGCCCATCAACAAGAGTTGGTGCACACACACATATGTGCCCACACAAGATGCTATACGGAAACTTTAATGCACAATATAGCATTGTGGTTAAAGTGATAATCTAGAGCTGCACACTGAGAACAAATGAGGTGCAGTTCATACACCAGACAGCTCAAGATTTAGAAATAGGCATACAAGTAACACATTGTGTATGAATACTTACATATAAAAATAAGTGTAAAACCATGCATGACCATGATAAGCACCCAGCTCAAGAGAGTGATAACTCTGGGGAAGGCGGGGAAATGGGAAGCTTAAAAACTGTATTTTAAGCTGGGTGCAGTTGCTCATATCTGTGATTTCAGTAGCTAGGGAGGATTCTGAATTTAAATCCAGCCTCACCAATTTAGTGAGGCCCCAAGCAACTCAGTGAGACCCTGTCTCTAAATATATTTAAAAAGGGGGGTGGGGGGCTGGGGATGTGGCTCAGTGGTTAAGTACCCTGGGTTCAATCCTTAGTACCAAAATAAATAAATAGCTGTATTTTATTTCTCTAAAAGAGATTTGATATAATGAATGTTAAGATTGGACAAAACTGGATAGTAGGCATACAGATATCTACTATTTCCTATATTTTTCTAAATGTTTGAAATAATTTATTTGATATAAAGTTATACATATTTATTGCAAAGTTTTTCAAGTATGCCAAAGGGCATAACGAAGGTGTTAGCAGTATAGCTCACTAGTAGCTCTGAGTTTGATCCCCAGAACAGCAAAGGAAAAAAGCCATGAAGAAAATAAAAATCACCCATAACAACACAATCCAAAGATAATGTACGTTAACATTCTATTAAATATTCCCTAAGCATAAAACAAAAACTTAATCTTTTTTACTTAACATATTGTAGAAATTTTTTTTTTTTTGTGTGTGTGTGTGTGTAGTATTGGGGTTTGAACTCAGGGCCTTGCACATGTTAGGTAAATTGAGCTATTTTTTTTTTCCTGCTTTGCAATAGGTCTCAATAAATTGTCCAGGCTGGCCTTGGACTCGCCATCCTCAGCCACCTGACGCATGACATTACAGGCATATACCACCACACCAGGCTACACACAAAAAATTTAAAGACTATATAATATTCCTTCATATAGCTGAATAATAAACCCTACATACAAATTTTTGCCCCTATTCCTGATTATTTCCTTAGGGAAATTCCTAGGAGTGGGAATTTGGGTAGAAGAAAGTATACTTTTTAAAAGTATAAAAGCTTAAAAACGGAAAGTCTGTTTTGTTTTGCTTTTAAACAATTGCTTTGTATAGTTCATGAATCATAAAAATAACCATTTTAAAGTATATAGTTAGGTCAGGAATGTAGCTTAGTTGGTAGAGTGCTTGTCTCTCATGCACAAGGCCCTGGGTTCAGTCCCCAGCATCACAAAATAATAATAATAAGTAAAGTATACATTTGATCCCAGTGTAGTGGCACATGCCTATAATCCTGGAAATTCAGAAGACTAAAGTAGGAGGTTCAAGGCCAGCCTGAGCAACTTAGCAAGACCCTGTCTCAAAATTAAAAACAAAATTTTTTAAAGGGCTGGGGATTTAACTCAGTGTTAGAGCACCCCTGGGTTCAATTACCAATATCAAATAAATAAATAAAAATGCAATTGAGTGGATTTTTGTATATTCAGAATTGTACAATTCTCACCACTATCTAATTATAGAACATTTTCATCACTCCAAAAAGAAACCCCAGACCCATTAGCAGTTACTCATTCTATGTAGCCTTCCCAGTCCTAGTAAACTACTAATCCACCTTCTGTCTCTATGGATATGCCTATTCCAGATGTGGAACTGTATGATATGTGGTCTTTGACTGGTGTCTTTCACTTGGCAAAGTGTTTTCTTCAAGTTTTGTCCATGTCCTACCATGTATCGGTACTTTGTTCCTTTTTTAACCAATGAGTAATATAGCATTCTATGGGCATGCCATATTTTGTTTGTCCATTCATTAGTTGATGTGTATTTGGGTTATTTCTGCTTTGCGTATTTATTTTTGTTGTCCTGGGGACTGAACGCAGGCACGCTCTTATCACTGAACGACACTCCCGACCCTATTTATTTACTTAAGACATGGTCTCACTAAGTTGCCCAGGCTGGCCTCAAACTTGCTAGGTCTCCTGCATCAGCCTCCCAAGTCACTGGGATTACAGGTATGCACCACTGTGCCAAACTTACTTTTGGACTATTAGAAATAATGCTGCTATGATCATTTGTGTACATGTTTTTTGGGGGAGGGGGAGGGCTAGGGATTGAACTCTCAGGGGCACTAAACCACTAAGCCCTATTTTGTATTTTGTTTGGAGACAGGGTCTCACTGAGTTGCTTAGTATCTCACCGTTGCTGAGGCTGGCTTTGAACCCACCATCCTCCTGTCTCAGCTTCCTGAGCTGCTGGGATCATAGGCGTGTGGCACGGCGCCCAATTACATGTTTTCAGTTCTTTGGAGTATATGCTTAGTAGTGGAAGTTCTAGATTATGTGTTTAACTTTTTTTTTTTTTTGGTATTGGGATTGAACCCAAGAGTGCTAAACCACTGAGCTACCTCCCCAGCCCTTTTTAAATTTGAGACACATCCTCACTAAGTTGCTTAGGGCCTTGCTAAATTGCTGAGGCTGGCCTCAAATTTTTGCTCCTCCCACATCACTGGGATTATTTGTGCTACTGCACCCAGCACATGTTTTAACTTTTTGAGGAACTACCAAACTGTTAAATTTCCACCAACACATGTTATTATCTCTTTTTAAATTATAGTCATCCTCATGGCATCTCATGTGGTTTTGATTTATATTTTGCTAGTGACTAATGATGTTGAACTTCTTTTCATGTGCTCATCATATATTTGTGTGTGTGTGTGTGTGTGTGTGTTTTGGTGGTGGTACTAGGACTTGAACCCAGGGCCTCCAACATGCTAGGCAAGTGTTCTACCCACAAAGCCACACCCCAGACCTTTTTTATTTTATTTTGAGGCAGAGTTTCACTAAATTGCCCAGTCTGGCCTTGAGTGTGCATTCTCCTGCCTCAGCCTCCCAAGTAGCTGGGATTATAGGTGTGTACTACCCAGCTGGCTAGTTTTTAACCATTTTATTATATATATCCTCTGAAGGAAAATGAAAGCAGAGCTATCAGTCATCAACAATTTTGTGTAGTGTATGAAATTAGTGTATAAATCTGAAAACTAAAATGAGACTGGATTTTCCTCTTCATTCCAGCCCTCAACCTTTTTTTTTTTTTTTTGCTGCAGTACTGGGGATTGAACTCAGGGTTGCTCTACCACTGAGCTACATCCCCAGTTCCTTCTTTTTTTACAGAATATTTTTAGTTGTAGATGGACAGAATACTTTATTTTATTTATTTAGTTTTATGTGGTGCTGAGGATCGAACCCAGTGCCTCACATGTACAAGGCAAGCTCTCTACCACTGAGCTACAACCCAGCTCCTCAGTCCCTTCTTATTTTTTATTTTGAGACAGGGTCTTGCGAAGTTGCCAAGGCTTGTACCACTGCACCTGGATAGCCCTTTTTACTGTGGAAAAAAAATTAGAGCAACAATATTGAAGAAATATGTGCTTGTGTATACCAGGTATGGTGGCACACTCCTGTATTTCCACTTACTCAGGAGGCTGAAGCAGGAGGATCCCAGTGCGTAGCTAGCCTCAGCAACTTAGTGAGAACCTGTCTCAAAATAAAAAATAAAATGGCCTGATGATGTGGTTCAGTGGTAAATGCCTCTGGGTTCTAACCACAGTATCCCACTCACTCACCCACCCCACCAAAAAAAAATTATAATAATTGTAAGTTATCAGGTTGTATTAGAAGTAGGAGCAGAATATTCCAAAACCTGCAACTGCAGGGTCTCTTGGCTACCAAGAATGATAATTAGTTCCTCATGATATTTGCCCTTTGTGTTAAAAGGAAATTCATTCTGATATCGCCTCTTCCCTACAGGAATAACAGCCAAATGAAGAAGCGGCCAACATCTGCAGTGGGCTACAAGAGGCCTATCAGCCAGTATGCTCGGGTTGCCATGGCAATGGGGTCCCACCCCAGGTATAGGGTAAGAAGCTGGGAAACAGAAATGGGGGGTGTGGGGGAGAACCCAAGGAGAGGGGATGCTGACCACCTCTACTCCCTTAAAGTACCCATCACTCTTGCAATACTCAAGATTGACTAAGTGCTGGTCACTGAGGCTGTTGTTCTCATCTGACATGATTCACCACAGGCTGAAAACATCATGTTTTTGGAGTTGGACGTGTCCCCTCCAGCCGTCTTTGAGATGGAATTCTCTAATGACCAAGAACAAGACCCTCGTGCACTACACATGGAGAGGCTCATGAGGCTGGACAGCTTTCTAGAAAGACCTTCCACATCTAAAGTCCGAAAGTCCCGATCCTGGTCAGTACCACCATGGTCAGACTGAGCACTGGACTTGGGAGGCAGGGGAACTGCATGGGCTGGTTGAGGCTGAAGAGGGTTTTGTTTGCACTCTAATGGGTTGAGGGAAGGAAAGGAAAGGCCTCGCTGTTCCATCTCCTGTGTCCCTAACCTCCCACTCTGCCTGTCTCATTCCCACCCCTGCAGGTGCCAGAGTCCTCAGCGGCCTCCACCTTCCACCGCACATGCCTCCCTGGCCTCTGCTTCTCTGCACCCTGCGACAGTGGTGGACCATGAGTGACAGCCTTCACAGTCAGACTGCCCATCCAACAGACTTTTAGGATGGGGCAGCCAACCTGGGCTCATCTCATCTGCCGCTTGGTGTGTGTGTGTGTAAGTGTGCGTGCATGTGCGTGTGTGTATGTGTGAAGGGGTGAGGATCTGGCAGATGCTGCCTCTGCCTGCTATTCTGCGCCTCCTTTATTTAATTCATGTTATTTATTCGTGGAGCTCAGTTATGTGGGGGAGGTGCCCTCGCCTGAGCAGCTTGGGCCTGTGGCCATCACTGCATAGTCTCCTTTTCTTCTGCCTGGAGACCCCTGGTCAGACCTCAAGCTCCTCCCTGTGTCTCCCACCCTCAGAGAGGAAGATGGCTAGTGCCTGAGAAGACAGTACTTTTTCTACCCACCTCATTCCATAATCTCCATCTCCTCCTACCCTGATGGTGAGCAGTCCCTAAGCACTTTCTGGGACTAGAAAACTACAGGGTGTCCACTGAGGACAAGAGACATCCTAACAGTGTTGGGCCTGTGTTCCTGGTGGACAGAGCCTGCTCTCCACTTTCTGGGCCTCTGACAACCTCTTCTGGCCTCTTGGGCTCTTTTTCAAAGACTTAAATGACTTCACCAAAACTCAGCCTGTGCTCTTCAGCTTTGTCAAGAACTCACAGCTTCCCAAACTCTGCTTCCTGACCACCTTCCCAGCCCTTGGATGGGAATTATGAACCAACCAGTTGTAGCCAACTCAGGACCTGCTGGAAATGGAACAGTATTGAGACATCGTGGACTGTCATCAAGGGAAGTTCCTCCTCTGAGTCCCTTTGTTTCTCTCCCTCTAGAAGTTCCTATGATTGAGGAACTCTCCAACCAACTCCCCGCCTTTTTCTTGTTTGTAGTCAGTACTGGGGATTGAGCCCAGGGACACTCCACCAGTGTGCCACACACCCAGTCCGTTTATTTATTTATTTATTTTAATTTTAAGACAGGGTCTAATTTGCCTGGGCTGACCTCGATCTTGCAATCCTGCCTCACCCTCTGGAATCACTGGATTATAGGTGTGCACCATTGTGCCTGGTGCAACTACCATGGCTTCTTCCTGCTTCCATCATTTTTCCCTGCCCCATCTCAGTTCATAGTGGGAGGGATCTGCTCCTGGCTAAATGAAGGTATCCAAATCTGTGGTTTTCCTCCTGTATTTGGCCCAGGAGATGGAGACCCAGGCGCAATCATTGCTAGCCTTGCCTAATACTTCTGTTTCTCAGTCATATTTTGATGGCACGATTTTGTTGAAAACTGATCTGTCCATTACCGTGTGTGCAAGTTGGTCCCTCCTCAGGAATCTTCCATTGTGACAGCCCAAAATGACCCCAGGTATCACAAGTGATAACTAAATTTCTACACCTACCCCCCCCAAAAAAAGAGTTAATTTTTATTGACTTTTTTAAATCATATAAAACTTTCATTATTTTTTAAAAAGTCCTTGCACATACTCAATGCCACAAAATTGTATAGAGTTACTTTTTTTTTTCTTTTCTTTTCTTTTTGTTTTTGGTACTGGGGTTTGAACTCAGGGGCACTCGACCACTGAGCCACATACCCAGCCCTATTTTGTATTTTACTTAAAGACAGGGTCTCACTGAGTTGCTTAGACCTCGCTTTTGCTGAGGCTGGCTTTGAATTCCTCCTGTCTCAGCCTCCCCAGCTGCTGGGATTAAAGGCGTTTGCCACCATGCCCTGCTTGCATAAAGTTATTTTACATGAGAAATTACATTTGAGTTAAAATTGCAAAGTTCTACTCCATAACTGTCACTGGATTCCCTATGCTTCCCTAATATGCCTCTAGGAATATGTCCATGATCCTATGTCTATCTTTTTCCAAGCCTTGGATCTACTCAAAAGATGCTGATAAATGCAAAGATTTCTTAGAGAAGAAATTGTAATTTTTCTGTAAACATTTAATAGTTTATTATTTAATTATATGTTGGTTTAAAAATAGAAAATTCTCTAATACTAAGGATCATAACACAAGTACATTGACTTTTTTTTATAGACAGGGTCTCACTGAGTTACTTAGCGCCTTGCCATTGCTGAAGCTGGCTTTGAACTCATGATCCTCCTGTCTCAGCTTCCCTAGCTGCTGGGATTACAGGCATGCATTGTCACGCCTGGCTACCATTGATTTATCTTTGAAGTTGGTATATTGGTGGAAGGGTGACGAGGAAATCATGAGAGCAGACAAGTAACTTAGGATTTCAGACAGTCTTGCAGTGCGAGTCTCCTGTCTCTTGACCATCACTGGAGTCAAGCGTGAGGCTGACAGATGTGCTGCGGCAGGTGGCAGTGGGGACTATTCTCTTCCCTTCAGGAAGTAAGCCCTTCTTGTGCCATTTAAGTTCTCTGAATGATGATTTGGTTTGATTTAACTCAATTGTTGTCTTTTCTGCTGTATTTACTGGACTAGATGGTTGAGCCACTCAATTACCATTTGTTCCTGTCCTTCAAGGAAATCACAGTTTCATCAGAGCCCAAGATGATTTGAGACTCAGGATTCAGATCAGAGATCTGGCTATGGCTGGGACAGAAGCTATGTGTAGATATCCCCAGGTGGCCTGCGCAACGAGGGACTTCCAGGGGACCTCCCCCACTGACCTCTTTCTTGTTTGTGGATGAAACAGCACGTGTCACCCCATTCATCACTTGGACACACTGACTCTACATTGTCTGGTCACTTGTCCCTCACAGTCTTATAGCACAATTTACCCACTCACCACCCCCAGTCTGTGGGCTGGGCCCAAGGTGTAGTCGGAGGAGGAGCTCCTGCCTGCAGTTTTGTGTACGTGTGTATGTGTGTGTTTGTGTGTGTATGTGTGTGTGTGTTGTACAGGAGACTACACTCAACGTAAGATACGCTGGGAACAGGGCCACTGGGGTGGCTATATCTCAGTCTCAGTCTCTCTCTTTCTCCTTTTCCTTTTGATGTATCAAACATTTGATTGACAAAGTAAGGGACTTGATTAGGACCAAATTTCCATGTCTGTTGCTATGGTCTTTATTTAGGACAACAGTTAATGCAGTGACCAATTCTGTCACTCTATACATATGACTATATGGGACATATGTAATATATAAATATATATATAAAACATTACCCTCTGTCCCCTTGGCTCAGGATGGAGGCCTCTTGGTTGAGCAGAAATGCACTGCAGCTTGGTGCTGCCAGCAGCCTGCAGGTCCCAGCCCTGTTCAAATCAACAGTTGACAATAAAGGAATGAGTATTGTTGCGGAGATGCCTGCCTGCTTCTCTTTCCTTTTTTTTTTTTTCTTTTAATCCTTGTTCATTTCCTTCCTTCCCTCTCTTCCTGTGAGTGTTGAAGAGTATTTGGAACCCAGCTGCAGTTATCAGCATCTTGGAAAAGCACTGACTACTAAATGAGGGGACATCTGGCCTGGTGCATTGGCACATCTGTAATCCCAGTGACTTGGAAGGTGATGCCTGCAGGAGGATCACAAGTTTGAGGCCAGCCCCAACAACTTAGTGAGACCCTATTCCCCAAAATAAAAGAGACTGGGGATGTAACTCAGTGATAAAGCATTCCTGGGTTCAATCCCCAGTATCAAAAAAAAAAAAAAAAAAGATTCTGCCCAGTAGAGCTGAGGGGATGCCAGGCTCTCATGGGAAGTCTGTACCAGGGCTGTGGCAGCAGCCATTCACGTTCTAGCAGTCCCTAACCAGTTAATTTTGAACTATTAGCAGATTTCAGAACTACCTAGGTATTGTCCAGTTTAGCTGTTAATGTCATCTCCCCCTGCTCCTCTGTTTGTCAGCCAAGAGGGATTAAAGCAGGAAATACACAGGTTTGCCTGGCTTATTATGGTAGATGCTGAATTCAAATAACTTAAAAGTCTAGGTTGAGGGTGTAGCTCAGTGGTAGAGCCCTTACTTTCCATGTGTGAGACCCTGAGTTCCATCTGTAGCCTGTAAAACAAAAAACTAAAATAAGTGGCTCCCTGTAATAGTTTGGTCTTATAGGAAATGAAAAATAGTTGCTGCTAAAAAACAAACCCAAAGCCTTGATCCCTGACTCCCAGGGGAGCATGGAGGTTCACCTGGTGCAAAACACAAAACAGTGAGCCTGTTGTTTTGCTCTGATGCTTTCTTGGAGGGACTTCCTGCCTCTGACCAGGTGGGAGCCCAAGCTGTAACAGTTCCAGGACTGGGGCAATTCTGCTGCTTAGGAGGCATCTGCCAGGTATTTTGTGTTTGGTGCTTGACACACACAGCTCATTTAATCCTCCCAGGTGGGAATTATAGTCACTAGTTACCAGCAAAGAATTAAGGAAACCAACAAATTTGGCTAAAGACACAGTGATGAAGCTAGACTTCTGGACCCCAGAGTCCATATTTTTTGCTTTGTGTCATACTACTTCTGTAGCCCATAAGTACCTCAGGAAAACTGATTGTCCCCCTACATGTTTCACAAGTAGTAAAAGCCAGGGACAGAGTCATCTGTCTCCATAGACATGGTTGAGAATAAGACCAGATCTCCAGACCCTTAATTTATGGGCCTTTCCTTCCCCCCACCCCCCACACACCCATCTTCCTTCCCTCTTTTTTCTTTTTGTAGTGCTGGGGATCAAACTCAGAGCCCCAGTCCTATTTTATCTTATTTTATTTTGGATTTAACCCAGAGGCACTTATCCCCAGCCCTTTATTTTTTATTCTGAGACAGGGTCTCCCTAGTTGCTTAGGGCCTTGCTAAATTGCTGAGGCTGGCTTTGAACTTTCCATCCTCCCAGATCACTGGGATTACAGGCGTGCACCACTGCACTTGGCTCCGGTCCTATTTTAAAACCACTCATTTCTGCAGTTAGCAGTGGGGTCACTGGTGTGGGTGTGCCCCATGCCAGGCAGGTGGGGGTGCATGTGCGCAGTTTTAAAGTTCTCATTAAAAATTTGAAGTTAATCAAGAAGGAAGTGGACAATGTAGATATCTGGAGGAAAAACAGAGAAAAAAAACAAATGCAAACTAAGGGATGGGAGTGTGTCAGGCTTGTTAGAGAAGCAGCAGCCGAGTCACAACCTTGAGGAAACAACACAGGGTGTAAAGGTTAATAGTGTGTAAGGGCAAGGACGCTCAGCTCCCTAAAGGGGTTTGCACTGCTACATCAGCCTGGGTCTGTCTACCTTTTCTCTCTCTCTCTCTCTCTTTTTTTTTTTTTGGTAGTTGGGATTGAACCTAGGAGTGCTCTACCACTGTTCTACATCCCTAGTGCTTTTTATTTTATTTTATTGGTACTGGTGATTGAACCTTGGAGGCGCTTAACCACTGAGCCACCTCCCCAGTCTTTTTTTATTTTTTGAGACAGGGTCTTGCTAAATTGCTGAGAGCCTCATTATTAATAATCGCTAAGGCTGGCCTCGAACTTGCAATCTTTCTGCCTCAGTCTCCTGAGTGTATCACTGGGTGTACTAGATTTCTAATGGATCCTGAGAAACCCCTACAGGTTTAAATCAGTGTTAGAGGCATTTGCCAGAAATCTACATTTTAAATAAGCACCTTCAGGTGATCACAATGAACAGTCACTGAACTCTGAGAATTTCAGTTCCAGTCCTATGTTATTTAGAGTGACTCACAGTGAGCCTACCCTTCATCAAGCACCAGAACTGGGGCCATCTGCCCATGTAAATACAAAGATTGCATTCAGAGATGATAGGGACCAAGGGCACAAAGCTACTCTAGCATATCTTCAGAGGGAAGGGGCCCCTGCTATCATGTTTGGACAAAATTCACTCCCCAGCCCCCATGGTACTGGGGATTGAATGCAGAATTGCTTTACCATTGAGCTGCATCCCAGCCCTTTTTATCTTTATTTGGAGACAACTGTGATCCTCCTGCCTCAGCCTCCAAAGTAACTGGGATTGCAGGTGTGCACCACCACACCCAGATATAAAGCTACTCTTATTTTGGGGAGTACTGGGATCGAACCCAAGGATGCTTGACCACTGAGTTACATCCCCAGTCCTTTTTGTTTTGAGATAGGGTCTCGCTAAATTACCCAGGCGGGCCTTGAACTTGTGATCCTCCTGCCTCAGCCTCCTGAGTCACTGTGATTACAGGTAGGCGCCATCATACCGACATATCCACATGCCATTTGTATTGATATTTATCTATACCTATATCTAGCCAAATACAAAATTAGCCAAATTGGCTATACGTGGTGAGGCCAGAGGCAAGAAGATGAAAGTTCGAGGTCAGTCTATGCAATTTAGGAAGCCCTATCCAAAAAGGTCAAAATAAATAAATACATGTAGATATAGGTTTATGAAAGAGAGAGGGAAATGAGTTTGCAAACACGAGATAAAGAAAGATGTGAGAAAGCTACGCAAGGACATCACATAGTGCGGCATTGAGAAAGGGCAATGTGCAGAGAAATTAAGTGGCTTGAGCCTGAGAAGCAGCTCAGCAGGAGGCACCATGTGCTCAAGTGCCACACTTCAGACCTCAAGGGCCCTAGCAGACAAAGCAGGTTAAAACTGACCTTTGAATCCTCTTGGCTGGTGCAAGAA